TAATCGGTTAAAGGTCTTGGGATATTTGAGTGTCTTGGGTTTGAATAATACTAGGTTGGGTGACCTCCCGGGAAGTCCAAATCTAGGAGCTTACACTCGGATCCATCTCGAACTCCATCTTGGGTCCTCTTGTGTCTCTTTTCTAGAGATTCATTTATTGCTTGTTTTGTGCTCGTTCTTCGAGCACTTTGTTGGGAGTTCTACTCCCGCTCTCGACCTTTCAAGTCAGAGCTTTTAGTCCAAACGTGTTATGCTCGTTTGGCTTTCGCTTCGGCTACTACCATGTGGCACCCTTTCGGCTCTACTTTGGGGCCTAGGGATTTGGTGTTTCACATTAGCCTTTCCAGGAGCCTAATATTATTTAAACCCAAAGACACTTAACCCTAAATATTCTAATACTTTTAACCCATTAAAAAAGGGGGTGCATTCTTATTTATGGGCCTTGTCTTTTTATATTTGTCTTTCAAGTTGTTCTTTTTAATTACCTACATACCTTTGTCACTAAGTGGAATGCAATCTCCAGGATTTAACATCTATACTACTATAGCCTTAAAAGAAAGCAATGGTGAATGTGATAATACTTGATAAACTAAAAGTGGAGTGACTCATAGTTATACTTTAACATTCCTTTATAGCTTAGCATGGTAAAGCATATGATTCTATTATCACTCTAAACCTTAAGAATTCTACTTTTATCCATGACCAACATAGAAGCATTTGTCTGGCATTAGATGCAATCTAATGGTAGTGAAGCCCATCCATTACCTCCACGACTATCCATTCAAGCTGGGTGAACGTGTTCTAGCCTCTTGGTCTTCTAACAAAATTGCAACCTCTCCATAGCACACTATAACAACCTCTCCATAGCATTATATTCTCACCTCTTGTTTTTGTTAGGCATGGCAAAAGAACCAAATTGCACATTATCACTCTTGAATGGCTTGAAATTCTGCCCATGACATCAGCCATTGCTATGGGCAGGCATACAGTTCGTGAAATATCCAATGCTTGTGTTTTTCTCATACTACTATTCTATATGTACCAATAAGATACTTATTATTGACACGTGTCCTCTGCATGTCTTTTCTACCCTTTTTTTCTAGTTCAAGTAACAAAAGTGACAAACCACCAGAGATCTGCAAAAGCCTATCGAACGCATCCGCCCACCAAATCTTTTTGTTCTGTGATGAAAAGAAGTTACCACCTTCTCCCTGCCATAGCATTAAAAGTTACACATGCTTGCGAACTTTTCGACCAGACAATTCCTCTTGTGTGTTTCTAGGCTACTCTCTTCAAATCATGCGCTAGAAGAACAATCATGTCCAATGTGGTTCATATAGCCTCCGTCTGCACGATTGTCCCAGCGATTCCAATGCGCCAGCCTTGTACTCTCTGGCTTTGCAACTTTCAGATCCAGCTCCTGTCCGAAAACTATCTCAAGCAAGTCTACTATTTCCCAGAAGCAGTGGATTCGTCACCAGGCTCCTTCGATCGATTGGTGACGAGCTTAAAAGTATCTTTGTCTCAGGTTCTCGTTCCATACTACCCAATAGCAGGGAGGCCCCGGATTGCCGGTCTCGACCGCCCGGTTCTCGAGTGCAACGACCAAGGTGTCGAATTTGTGGTGGCATTTACCAATGTGAGCTTCCACGACTGGGGCGATTCCATGAAGCACTGCTCAATCGAGCATGAGCTCAACCCGGCACAGAAGGAGATCACGGATCACGAGAACTTCCCACAGCTCAAAGTCCAGGCAAGTCCGGAGACTTTACGTTGACCTCTTCTGACCGTGTTTGCAGGTCACCAAGTTCCGGTGTGGCGGGATCGCCCTCGGCCTCGTCACCACCCACATTGTCACCGACGGCTCGTCCATCTTTGCGTTCTTGAAGGCCTGGTCGGATATCCATCAGGGATTGCCACCGCCGAATCCACCGCCATCATTCAACTCCAGCATCCTCAGGGCCCGAGAGCCCCCCAGCATCAAGATGCCCATCCGGGACTACGTCTCGGTGGCATCGTCCTGGCCCAGGATCACAGTGGAAAGTCCGGGGAGGATATCTCTCCCAAATACCACGTCCGGGCATTCCACATGAGCGAGCTCCAGCTCTCGCATCTCAGAGATCGCATCCGGCCCATTCTCCTACGGCAGCTTCCCGACATCCTTCGAGGCCGCCGCGGCGCTCGTCTGGAAGTCCTAGGTCGTGAGCTCACTTCGAGTGCTTAGATGACATGGAGGCCTCCACAAGATTAGTGTCCATGTCGACTGTCGTAGCGATCTCCAACGGTAGCTAGGTAAAAGTCAAGTCATTTGTTTCTGTCGTTCGCAGCTATGGCATCTCAACAGTGGAAGATATCTTCAAAATCGCGTACTACGGCAGAGGACGCATGTCTGTAAGAATCCATTCCATAGAAGAAGATGAGAAGAAGCTCAGCTAACAGGGCTGCAAACCTCGGGGTCAATGCACATTTGCAAGCCGATTTAATGACCAAGAAATTCCAGCTTTTGCCAAGTGTATCGGCGGCTTATAAGAGAATATATATAAAAATTTGTTACTGCTTCCAATTGTTTCACACATAATAATGTTGCTTCATGCTTGATTGAGCGCATAGATCAATCCCAGGACTTTCAAGCAATTACATGTTTATAGGCCTAGCTTCAAAGCTTTAAAACTTCGAGCTAGAATTCTTTCCCTTGCGGAGCTCCGGCAGCGGGATCTTGGGTTTGGATCGATGACCATCGTTGCGGGTGGGAGCAGGCTCTCCAGATCTTGGCACCTAAAGGATTAGATGGTTCGAAGGAAAAGAATCACATTTCCGTTTCATACGTTTGTGATGCGAGGAAACACCTGTGCGAACCACGCCGCTGGCAGCCACGCCCACAGGATCTGGGCCGCCGTCTCTCGGATCGGGCCATAGACCAGCTCCGTGACCGATCGTCCCTGTGATCATCCTGTTGATCGGCCCCTCGATCATCCCTGTGATCGTCCTGTCGACCGGCCCCTCGATCATCCTGGTGATCGGTCCCTCGAACTAAATTTGATCACCATCCCCGCCACCATCGATACAAGCAGGGACTTCGCCAAGAACTTCGTCGCGTCCCCCCAGCCCATCGTTCCGCCCGCGCGTTTGCTCCCTTCCAAGAAGGAAAACTAGGGCCGTAACCGGCAATTTTGTACACAAATATCTTCTTAGAAATGAAAAGGAGAAAGATTGCTTCCCGGTCGGGGGTTTTCTTGTTAAATATTAGAATTTGATCGCCACCTTTGAGTTCCCTCAACCAGTTCAGTGAACGTAAATCGCCAGTCGCCAGTGGAAGACAAGTCTCGAACGTGGTCAACTTTATTGGTCAACATAAGCGATTAGTTCTAAAGCACGAGGAGCTCGTGGGCAAGGTCGTGAGCTCCGAGTAGATTGGATCAACGACATGGTTGCGTCCATAAGCTCGGTAAGATTAGTGTCTGTGTCGACTGTAGTTCCCCAGATCCCGACCCGGCAGCCCTGCGTTCTCGCGCTCTCCAACTTCCAGAGCTACTTTTCGTTTGAGCGCTACATCAAGCAAGTGTTCTACTTCTCCGCCCCGGGATCTTCAGCTCTCAAGCAGCACGATGACCAGGAAGAAGAAGAAGAAGATCAAGAACAGAAGAGCCCTCGGATCGATAACCACGACGAAGAGGAGTTCCAGCGCCTGGTTTGCAGCATGAGGGAGTCTCTGTCGCGGTTGCTCGTTCCATACTACCCTCTGGCGGGGAGAATGCGGCGGCGAGAGCGGTTAACAACGATCCAGGAGCTCCACTGCAACGACGCGGGCGTCATGGTGGTGGCGGCGATGGCTAACACAGCCTTGGGCGACGCCCGGCAGTGCCCCATCGAGCACGAGCTCTACCCGGAACCCAGGGTCAGAGCTCCCGCCAACGCGCCGCTGCTAAAAATCCAGGCAAGTGTTGATTCTGTTGACTAAAAGAGTGTTGACTGGCTGTAAGCGTTGACTGGCATTGTGTGTTCACAGGTGACAAAGTTCCAGTGTGGCGGGATTGCTGTGGGAGTGCTCACCTGTGAGAACATCCTCGACGCCTCCTCCTCCTTCCCGTTCCTCCGGGCGTGGGGGGAGATCCACCGGGGCCTCGCACTGGCGGTGGCCCCATCGTTTGATTCCAGCGTGCTCAAGCCCCGCGATCCTCCGCAGGTCAATCTCCCCGTCCGCGACTACGTCGTCGCCCCACCGCCAGCAAGCACGGTGGAAGCCATGGCCAAATCCTCCCACGACGCCATCCCCGACCGCCAGAGGCTCTTCCACATCGCCCCCGATCGAGTCCGCGAGCTCGTCGCCGAGGTCCAGCGCGGGAGATTCTTCTCCTCTCGTGACGAGCCGCCGCCGAGCTCGTTCGAGGCCATCTCCGCCATGATCTGGAAGTGCGCCGCGGACGTCAAAGACCTGGACGATTCGGAGAGCATGACTTACATCTACGCGCTCTCCACCAAAGGACCCAAGCGCTGGAGCCCCGAGATCCCGTGCCACTACTGCGGCAGCTCCGCTCACATCCCCTGCCTGGCTGCTCCCGTGGGCGAGATACGCAAGAACCACATCTCCCACGCCGCCAAGCTCCTCCGCGACGATATCCATTCCGCCACCCAGGAGCGCATCCAGTCCGCCATCGACTGGATGGAGCTCCACCTCCGGGCCGGGATCTTCGTGGACGACAACTTCCCGCTGCCAAGGTGGTCGGGGAGAGCGATCAACAGCAACAGCCTCACGGCATTCCCGATCTACGAGCTCGACTTTGGATGGGGGAGGCCGCGACATTTCTCCTTCGTCTTGGATGCCGAGCCGGGCAGTGGAGCCGCCATTCTTCTTCCCACTCGAGATGGCGGACGAGACCGGCATCTGGCGATTCGGCTGCCCGAGAACCAGATGAAGAAGTTACTTGAGCACCAGTTCTTCCTCAAGTTCGCCACCCCGGTGTAGCAAACAAGTTGTAGACAAAATTGCTCTCCATAGCACTATGTTCTCACCCCTTGTTCTTGTTGGGCATGGCAAAAGAACCAAATTGCACATTATCACCATTCTGCCCATGACATCAGCCATTGCTATGGGCATGAAGCCCGATCCCTGGCATACAGTTCGTGAAATATTTCTGATACTGCTATCCTATATGTACCAATAAGACACTGACACGTGTCCTCTTTTCTACTTCTACCCTTTTTCTTCTAGTGCACGCCATATTGTAACAAAAGTGACAAACCACCAGAGATCTGCAAAAGCCTATCGAACGCATCCGCCCACCAAATCTTTTGTTCTGTGAGTTGATGAAAAGAAGTTACCACCTTCTCCCTGCCATAGCATTAAAAGTTACACATGCTTGCGAACTTTTAGACCAGACAATTCCTCTTGTGTGTTTCTAGGCTACTCTCTTCAAATCATGCGCTAGAAGAACAATCATGTGCAATGTGGTTCATGTAGCCTCCGTCTGCACGATCGTCCCAGTGATTCCAACGCGCCAGCCTTGTACTCTCTGGCTTTGCAACTTTCAGATCCAGCTCCTGTCCGAGAACTATCTCAAGCAAGTCTACTATTTCCCAGAAGCAGTGGATTCGTCACCAGGCTCCTTCGATCGATTGGTGACGAGCTTAAAAGTATCCTTGTCTCAGGTTCTCGTTCCATACTACCCAATAGCAGGGAGGCCCCGGATCGCCGGTCTCGACCGCCCGGTTCTCGAGTGCAACGACCAAGGCGTCGAATTTGTGGTGGCATTTGCCAATGCGAGCTTCCACGACTGGGGCGATTCCATGAAGCACTGCTCAATCGAGCATGAGCTCAACCCGGCACAGACCGAGATCACGGATCACGAGAACTTCCCACAGCTCAAAGTCCAGGCAAGTCCGGAGACTTTACGTTGACCTCTTCTGACCGTGTTTGCAGGTCACCAAGTTCCGGTGTGGTGGGATCGCCCTCGGCCTCGTCACCACCCACATTGTCACCGACGGCTCGTCCATCTTTGCGTTCTTCAAGGCCTGGTCGGATATCCATCAGGGATTGCCACCGCCGAATCCACCGCCATCATTCGACTCCAGCATCCTCAGGGCCCGAGATCCCCCCAGCATCAAGATGCCCATCCGGGACTACGTCGCGGTGGCACCGTCCCTGGCCCAGGATCACAGTGGAAAGTCCGGGGAGGATATCTCTCCCAAATACCACGTCCGGGCATTCCACATGAGCGAGCTCCAGCTCTCGCATCTTAGGCACGAGATCGCATCCGGCCCATTCTCCTACGGCAGCTTCCCGACATCCTTCGAGGCCGCCGCGGCGCTCGTCTGGAAATCCATCACCGAGGCGCGGGATCTCGTCGACACCGCCATCGCCACATTCGTCTACTCGGGCTCCGCCAAGGCCGGCAAGAACCGGCGGCATCCCCCAATCCCGGACGAGTACTGCGGCACCTCCGCCATGACCCTCGTCCTCCCGTGTCCGGCGCGCGACCTCAAGAATAAGCACATCTCCTTGGCCGCTCGCCTCGTCCACGACGACATCCGGGCCATCACCCACGAGCGATTCCAATCCACCATTGACTGGATGGAGCTGGAAGGAATCGGCAGCCCCGGGCGCAAGGAGATCGCGGTCAACATGAGGGCCGAGATGGCGGTCTACTCCGTTGACCTGGTCACCTTCCCCGTCTACGACGTTGACTTTGGGTGGGGGCGGCCCGCCCACTTCTCGCTGGTGCTGGAGCCGTGGTATGGCAACGGGGTGGTGGTGTTTCTTCCCACTGCCCAGGGAGGGACGCGAGAGCGCCGCATTGTGGTCATGCTCCTCGAGGATGAAATGAAGAGGTTGCTGCGAAGTGAGCTCCTCGCCAAGTTCGCCACCTTGGAATGAAGGGTTCTCGTAGAGATTCGAGGCAAAGCAAGTAAATTCGTTTCAACGATCGTTTCATCGATCGGAACAGAGTAGATACAAGAATCTCGGATTCTCGAGCAAAACAAGAATGCGATCCGAGAGGGAGAGAAACTAAGAACGAGTGTCGATCCGTCCGTGAGAGAGGAAAGAAAGGACAGAGGCCATCGTCAAGGAGAGTGAGAGGACTCGGCGGCACGAGCGGTGCACATCCTGGAACACGGAACCCTCATGAAGGCTTGGCTCGTCCGGGACGGCACCTCCTTTCCCTTGCCAAGCTCCGGCAGCGGGAGCTTGGGCTTGGATCGATGAGCATCGTTGCCGGTGGGGGCGGGCTCTCCAGATCTTGGCACCTATGAAGGAAAAGAATCACATTTTCGTTCCATACCTTTGCGATGCGAGGAAACATCCGTGCGAACCACGCGGCCGTTTCTCGGATCGGGCCATAGACCAGCTCCGTGACTGGTCCCCGGATCGTCCCTGTGATCATCCTGTTGATCGGCCCCTCGATCATCCCTGTGATCGTCCTGTCGACCGGGTCCTCGATCATCCTGGTGACCGGTCCCTCGAAACTAAATTTGATCACCATCCCCGCCAGCATCGATACGAGCAGAGACTTCGCCAAGAACTTCGCCGCGTCCCAGCCCCAACCCATCGCCAGTGGGTATACTAACTTTGATCACCAGTGCCGCTAGAGCACGGACTTGGCAAAGAACTCCGCCCGCTCCCTCCCTTCCAAGAAAGAAAACTAGGAACCATGACCATTTGCCTGACCCTTGTATGGACAAAGAATGCTTCTCGGTCTAGGGCGTTCCTTAATCGCAGTCCAGCCCAATAAACGAAAAAGTCTGGAAGTATTGTCAACTTTGGTCAACATAATCCTGAAGCACTGGCGAGGTCGTGAGCTCATTTCGAGTGCATTGGATCAAACAGACATGGTGGCTTCCACAGGCTCGGTGAACAGTGGAAGATAACATGTACTACCGCAAAGGATGCATTGCCTTCAGCCTTTTCACGTCAGCTAGACCTCAATGCACATTTGCAAGCCGACCAAGAAATTCAAGTTTGCTGTAAGGATAGTTATAAATTATTATCATTGTTTCCTAAACTGGAAAGTGTTCTCTACTCAGTGACATGTTTCTTTAAAGCTTAAAGTTCTGAGAACTCGTCAGCGACAGCTTGGGCTTGGATCCATGGTCGTTGCCAGTTCCCCAAGCCTGGATCAAAGAATTAAATCGAATCTCACATTTTCGTTTCATACCTGAGAACCACGCCCCGTCTCTCAGATCACGCCATAGACCAGCTCCGTGACTGGTCCCTCGATCATCCCTGTGATCATGCTGTTGATTGGTCCCTTGATCATCCTTGTGATCATGCTGTTGATGGGCCCCTCAATCAGCCCAGTGAAACTAGTTTTGATCACCACCACAGCCAGCGTCGATGCAAGTTATATGTACATTACTCTGTGTCCCTTAGGGACTAATACAAAAGTGAATCACCCTTAGTGCTGTTCACTCAACAAAGCCATCTTGCTGTCCTCCACCTACTGGCGATCGCTGCCTTCCAACTGTAGCTGCTGTGGTCGTCGCCTCCACAACACATCCAATGCCAAATCGCTTTGTCATGCCTCTTTTATTACCGTGGCAAGTGGTCTCCATTTCCACTTCACATTTCCCTCATGCTCTACTCTGTAGCACAGGGTCCATTGTCATCACCAAACTGCCAGAGCCTCCTTGTTTTTTCTGTGTTTCTGGAGCAATGCATCCCTCAAGCAAACAGCAGCCAATGTGAGCCTCCACCAATTTACCATGATCGCTGAAATCCAAGCGCTCTGCTCCTCGAAGTAGTTGTGGTTCCAAACTTCCCAGAGTGCCCATACCCCAGATGCCCGCCATATCTCCCATCTAGGGACTTGGCCAAGAACTCCCCAGCCCCAGCCCATCGCTCCTTCTAACAAAAAAAACTAGGGCTGCAACCATAGAATTCAATCGCACCTTTGTGAACGTAAATCGCCAGTCGCCCGTCTCGAAATGTGGGCAAGTTTATTGGTCAACATAGTCGATTAGTTCTAAAGCACGAGGGGCTCGTGGGCGAGGTCTTGAAGTGACTTCGAGTGCTCGACATGGTAGCGTCCATAAGCTCGGTAAGGTCAGTGTCCGTGTCGACTGTAGTTCCCCAGATCCCGACCCGGCAGCCCTGCGTTCTCGCGCTCTCCAACTTCCAGAGCTACTTTTCGTTTGAGCGCTACATCAAGCAAGTGTTCTACTTCTCCGCCCCGGGATCTTCAGCTCTCAAGCAGCACGATGACCAGGAAGAAGAAGAAGAAGATCAAGAACAGAAGAGCCCTCGGATCGATAACCACGACGAAGAGGAGTTCCAGCGCCTGGTTTGCAGCATGAGGGAGTCTCTGTCACGGTTGCTCGTTCCATACTACCCTCTGGCGGGGAGAATGCGGCGGCGAGAGCGGTTAACAACGATCCAGGAGCTCCACTGCAACGACGCGGGCGTCATGGTGGTGGCGGCGATGGCTAACACAGCCTTGGGCGACGCCCGGCAGTGCCCCATCGAGCACGAGCTCTACCCGGAACCCAGGGTCAGAGATCCCGCCAACGCGCCGCTGCTAAAAATCCAGGCAAGTAGCTCCGTTGATTCTGTTGACTAAAAGAGTGTTGACTGGCTGTAAGCGTTGACTGGCATTGTGTGTTCACAGGTGACAAAGTTCCAGTGTGGCGGGATTGCTGTGGGAGTGCTCACCTGCGAGAACATCCTCGACGCCTCCTCCTCCTTCCCGTTCCTCCGGGCGTGGGGGGAGATTCACCGGGGCCTCGCACTGGGGGTGGCCCCATCGTTTGATTCCAGCGTGCTCAAGCCTCGAGATCCTCCGCAGGTCAATCTCCCCGTCCGTGACTACGTCGTCGCTCCACCGCCAGCAAGCACGGTGGAAGCCATGGCCAAATCCTCCCAGGACGCCATCCCCGACCGCCAGAGGCTCTTCCACATCGCCCCCGATCGAGTCCGCGAGCTCGTCGCCGAGGTCCAGCGCGGGAGATTCTTCTCCTCTCGTGACGAGCCGCCGCCGAGCTCGTTCGAGGCCATCTCCGCCATGATCTGGAAGTGCGTCGCGGACGTCAAAGACCTGGACGATTCGGAGAGCATGACTTACATCTACGCGCTCTCCACCAAAGGACCCAAGCGCTGGAGCCCCGAGATCCCGAGCCACTACTGCGGCAGCTCCGCTCACATCCCCTGCCTGGCTGCTCCCGTGGGCGAGATACGCAAGAACCACATCTCCCACGCCGCCAAGCTCCTCCGCGACGATATCCAGTCCGCCACCCAGGAGCGCATCCAGTCCGCCATCGACTGGATGGAGCTCCACCTCCGGGCCGGGATCTTCGTGGACGACAACTTCCCGCTGCCAAGGTGGTCGGGGAGAGCTATCAACAGCAACAGCCTCACAGCATTCCCGATCTACGAGCTCGACTTTGGATGGGGGAGGCCGCGACACTTCTCCTTCGTCTTGGATGCCGAGCCGGGCAGTGGAGCCGCCATTCTTCTTCCTACTCGAGATGGCGGACGAGACCGGCATCTGGCGATTCGGCTGCCCGAGAACCAGATGAAGAAGTTACTCGAGCACCAGTTCTTCCTCAAGTTCGCCACCCCGGTGTAGCAAACAAGTTGTTTTCTCTTTTTTTTTTGTTGTAATCCGGCCTGCCAGCAGCAGCAAAGAAGAGCCACAGTAATTTACATTCTCCACTCTACCAGTTATTCCCTCGCTCTGGTAGATTTCTCTTGCGCTCAATGCTCACTCCTCTTCGATCTCTTCAATTCGAGCTCTTCTGGCAGCGGCCCTCTTGCGGACAAATATCCCCCACCGCAACGCGGCCTTGAGCTTGAGCCACCCGACTTTGCTGCCTTTCTTCTCCGGCGACGACGGCACGCTCTCCACCGGGAAGTAATCTTGCAAGTTCATGTTTGGCATGCTGCTGGCCTGATCGTTTGTGGCCACGTTGAACATGCGCAGCAGCTGCTGCATCTGCAAGTTCATGTCCTCGCTCTCCAGGAGCTCGAGGCTCTTTGCACGGATCTCTTCCTCCGAGTAGAACTCGTCGTTTTGAGTCGTCTGCCTGTGGAGCCACTCGGCTGTGGCCGTGGGTGCCTGCTGCAGATAGCTGGGGTTGGGATTTACTTGTGGCGAGTAAGCCAGTCCTGAGCCAGAAGGCATTGATTGTTGGAGAGACAGGCCGGTGCTCATCGCGTTTTGATTCCTCTGCTGTTGATGTTGTTGTTGCTGCTGCTGCTGCTGCTGCTGTTGGTGCTGTTGGTGCTGCTGTTGTTGGGAGGAGTAGCTCTCCACAGGGCTGGAGACTGGAGCGTAGCTTGGCTGACTACCCCCTGCTTTAAATGACAGATTCACAGCTGCGTCAGTGAAAACACTTGAAAAGCTAGCTCCTAAGCGTACCATTTGTCAACGCTGTCCCTCTTGGAACAAGGCCGAACTCCTGACTGCCGGGAAACCCCTGCTGCTGCTGCTGCTGCAACGTACTGCTTCCGCGGTTTCCATTGGCTGGCTCTTCCGTATGTGCGTCGATGCCACGGAGAGAATGCGGCATAGAACCAATCAGTGCCTCACCATCGTACTCGACCACACTCTCCCAGTTCTCGTATGCCACCTTTACTAACTTGTCGACGTATACCTGGATTAATAGAGCCGCCAGCGTGTTACTAGACAACTAAATTAAATTAACGTGTTACCTTTTCGGCATCGGACAGGGAGTCCACAGAAAGATACTGCCCACCGGCCATAAGGCCCATTAGCTGAAAGATGTTGTTGAAAATGACACCGATATTTTGCTTCTCGTCGGCATAATAGACATACAGCTTTCCGCTGAGGACGCACGTTTTAGCATGCTCCACTGTTCCTTCCCACATCTTATTTGACATGCCACTTCCAAGAATCTGCGCCAGACCAACTACATGAGCTGACAGAGAGAGAGAAAGAAAAAACTAACTTTCATTACTTACGTTTCGTAGTTTCTGCGGGTCCATCACCACCAGACGCAGAAAGTCCTCCACAGAAAATATTCCAGCTTTGTTGAGCCTCTTGTGGAATGCCCCGTCCTTTCCAATCTTGTCAAGCCTCCACACATCATCGCCCAAAGCGGGAGGATAGTGTTTTTTGTAAACTGCGCAAATATATAAACAGGTAAGCAAGACAATCTGCGAGGAGTGGGGACTTACGTTCTCCACGGTGGTCTTTGACGGAAAAAGAATCGGTCTTGCCCTCTCGGATGCGCGGTCCTTCGAAAGAACCAGGAGAGACGCGTACACCGAGCCTGAACTTCCTGCTCCTGATCCAGCTAGAGTTGTCAGTGAAAGTAAGCTCTCCAAGTGTACCTACGCCTTCTTTGAGTGTGACACTCAAATCTCCTGTAAGAAGGGGCCGCTTCCCTTCACGTTCTCGGACAACGTATGTGTCAAAATCTTCCATACTCCAGTCTTCTTCGTCGTCAGCCGAGAAGTCGCCTTCCAGCACAACAATATCAAGTTTTGCTCCTGCTTCAGCGCCAGTAGTTACAACCTGCCCTGTGTTGGCATCCTGTAGGACGACGTGAATCGCAGAGCCTTGCTCCCCTTCGACTTTACTGCCAGTGAAAAGCGGCAGCGCTAGCTTGTTTCGAAACTGCAGGCGCAACGCTCTAGTATCGGCACCCTGGATGCGTTTCGGCGATGATTTGTAGCTGAAACGAGGAGAGAGCAAGATTTAATCGCAAGATATAATTGCAGAAAAAAGAAGAAAATGAGACTTACGTTAGTCCACCTTTCATAGAAGGTGCTAACTTCGCCAAAGCACGCTCGACCTCTTCTCCCACCTGTGCGATCGAACAGTGAGACCTTTGAAGAAAAAAAGAAGGAAAAAAAACAATTTTGACTCACAACTCGACGAAGGAGAGGTTCCAAGGTTGAGCACAATTTCTGGAGACTGTCCATCTTAAGAGCCTCAACAATGACGCTGAATTCACCATCAAAAAAATCCACCATCAGTGGTCTTCCAAAGAAAAAAATTACACAAATCAAAACGACAATTTTAAGCTAGGAGTGAAGAACCATGTCCGAGAGACCCTAGAACAAAGAGAATGGAAGCTCACCTCGCAAGCGCTGGCCGCTGTCGCTTCTCATTAGGCAATCCATCGCGCGCCGAATCCAGAGGCCGCTTCTCCCTCGACATCGCAGCCCGAAAACCCCCAAAAACCTCCTAGATTCCGAGCTTCCCCGCAATGCCGCAGCTAACCTGGGATCCGTGACAGCGGCGGCCGCCCTACCTCTTCCACACAGCGGCAGTGGACTGCGATCCACCCCCTGTTCATCCAGGATCCCGGGAGGAGGCGCCGCCGATTGGATTGTGGCGCTGCCAATCCAAAGGAGACGAAGGCGCCGAAGATCCAAAGCGCGTGCAAAAGAAGTGTATCAGGGATGCTGCTACTTACACACTGGGGACGTTCTTCGTTCCTACCCGGAAGCGAGGAGACTGGACGGCTGGGATGCGACCACGTGCTTTAATACCGGCCGCCAGATGCTACATTTTTTCACGCGGAATAGAAACTACGTGGCAACGCGGGTGGCGCACGTGCGTACGGAAAGCGTGGTCTTTCCCGACGTCCTCCGTACGGCAACATGGTTTCGTCACCCTTGGTTGACCGATAAACAAACCCTAAAACGCAGAGGTCTCGAGTTCGATTCCAATAGAAACGTTAACCATAAAATTGCATGGACAAAAGAATTCCATTGCCGGGATTTGAACCCGGGTCGCCTGGGTGAAAGCCAGGTATCCTGACCGGACTAGACGACAATGGATTTATGAAATATTGCCCAGTTTATTTCATTCCACCCTTTGTTTGGGCTCTTGGAACTTTGAAAAAAAAATTCTTGCTTGTTAAGAAAGGAATCGCGAATGAGAAGACTTGAGAGAGCGTACCTGGTATTTTATGATGCATTCGGAGAGATGGAGCTTTCCAGTCCAATCTGATCGAAAGAAAGAGAATGCTTTCAAGGCACGATGGAAACAAAATAGAATACACTGACTTGGTGGTTTTGCTCTTGTTTTCGCTGGACCACGGCGATCTCACGACATCGTCCAGTTCCAACACACATGTCGCATTCGTCGGCTCGTCCCTCGGCACGGCTCACGCAGTATTTCATTCGGTCCTCCAAAACATCCTGTCACAAGCATTGATTCAATCGCTAGGAGTATCAGTACCAAGGGCCAAGAAAAGAAAAGAAAGAAAAGAGCTTGCTTTTGGAAGCTTACCACCATGAGTTCGTGAAGGCCGATGGGAGCAGTCACGAGATATCGAATTCCGGGATGCTTTGCGGACGCCGCTGCTGCTAATGCTGGAATGTCCTGTTGATCGTGAGAGAGTGGACCTTTTTCCACCAAAAAGTGTTTCTTACTTTGTTCCAGTGTCTTCCTGGGAAGAGAAAGTATGGACTTACGATGACCCTCTGCGCTCCTAGCTCCACGCAGCGATCAAACGCATCCTCGATCGATGGAGCTGCAAGTTCCTGCAAGAACAAAGAAATGTTCCCCCTCAGTCGCTAGACAAGAAAAATCATACCATATGAGCAGCTTGCACGATCTCATGCCCGGTCTTCCTCTTGTACATCTCTACAAACTCCTCTACAATGCGCTCGCGAAATTTCCATAAAAGCGCGGCAAAGAGATGAAGAGCGCCTTACCCAGCATCGAATTCGATTCCGCCCGGCGCGAGCCATGATCCACAATCACGATCCCATCCCTCGATCCTCCAGACCCCGCCATTTGCTGCACCGCAGCTCCCGCAAAACCCTGATTCCCTCCTTCGCCCCCAGCGCGCACAATCACCCTCCCCCTCAATCCCTGCCCGAAATGCCGCGGGAGACGATCGTCGCCGCGCCGGATCAGCTGCCTCGCCGCTCCCAATGAGCTCACATCCATAATCTTTCGCGCTAGTATGCCCTAGGCAGCCACGTGTGCAGCTTAAGTGGCGCCACATATACCTCCAGCTGGCATACACGAGGGCTGACGTGTCTCTACCAAAGATGGTAAATTCCAAATCTACCCCTTTTGGAATGTTAAGAAAGGCAAAGTGAAAAGCGATTATTACCAACCATGTATGGGCTTTAGTGGTTGTTTTGTGGCCGCTCCTTTAAGCCAATGCAACCTAAGGTGAGCTGGGTAACTGAGCCTGTGTGACTACTTATGACCAAGGACTTGACCGGAATTCCATCCAAATGGTGGTGGTGTAGAAGAATAACAAAGAAAAAAAATCGAGTTTGCGTATGACGCATGCAAACGAAAGAGATTGAGAGGCAAAGAAAAGAAAGGTAAAGAAAGTGAGCAGCGCATTCAAGCTCTTTCAAGTTGGTTGGGAAGGAAGGTAGGGAGGGCTTTGCATTCACTGTCCTCTCCTGGAGAAGCGAGCGAAGAGCAGCGATCCTCGAGAGCGCGAGAGCGAGCGATCGATTGACTAGGAAGAGTCTTGGTTTTCTTTTTCAGCGCGACTATTTGCAATCACTGATCCCTGATAGCGATGGAGGAGCTGCGAGGTTGAAGAGCGAGCGAGCAGCGCGGGCCGGGGTGTCAATTTCGTGGTTGGCTCGCCAAATTTCTTCCCACATAAATCCGCGGGTCGGTTTCGTCGATTCGGGTGGATCGTGTGGCAACATCAGGGAAGTGCGTGGTTTGTCTGGAATTGGGGTAGATTTTGGAAAGGATTGATCACCAAGAACGAGGGAAAGAACTCGATGAGGGCAAAGAGGGCGTTAAGAGTAAGAGACACACCGAGGCTGTAGCGATCATGAGCGTTTTTGCGAGCAAGAAAGCGTTTTGGCGTGGGGAATTCGCGAAATTGGGCATGGTGGTCGTGTGATTTGATCGAGGAGCAGCTGCCCAAGAAGAGATCTGCGCTTCTTTGCATGTGATTCCAAGCAGGAAAACGCAGAGAGGGGGGAAATCCTTTCTTTCTCTTCCTTCTTCCCGATGGTGGGAAGAAGGCGAATGCAGCTCAAGCCAAGCTCCGCGGCGATGGAGGCGAGCGAGAGGCGTGTGGAAAACTCCCTGCCATCGCCGAGGTCTCCCTCTTCCCCTCCCTCGCGAATTGTCGTCGGCGTCAAGCTGCGCTCCGAGTGCCGTGAGATGCTCACCTGGATCGTTGCGAAGCTCGCTCAACCCGGGGACCAGATCGTTGCTGTTCACGTCGTTCGAGCCTTCCCCGACACAGGTTCGATGATCTTCTAATTCGCCTCCCTTTCTTTTCTCTTGTTTGTTCTTCTATGGTAGACCTCTCAGTTTAGATCGTTCTCTGTCATTTTCCTCATTAAAAGAGCGATTTTTTTCGATTCTTCTAACAGATGATATCCTGGATTCATCGATCAAGCAGCGACTCGACAGCACATTCGAGTCCGTGCTGGGAGTTTATCAAAGCATTTGCAACCTCAAACAGGTATGACGAGAGCATTGAGCTCGCAACGAGAAACACAAAATGTGAGGTTTTTTGTTGGCTTAGGTCCGCCTGGATATCAAAGTGGTGTCTGGAGCTTCGCTGCAAAAGGCTTTGGTCGAGTCCGCCAAGCTCGAGAAAGCATCCGTTTTGATCCTCGGGAAGTCCAGCAAAGGGTATGCTATGATGATCGATCTTGGTGGAATGTTTCTTAGTTTTTCCTTTCTTTGCACAGATGCTCCGAGTCGCTAGTGAAGTACTGCACCAAGAGGCTGCCTTCCAGCTGCTTGATGATCATTGTGGATCATGGCCAAGTGTTGCTTGGAAAGGAAGGCTTGCTAAGTGCTCCAGGTAAAACTTTATTTCCTAGCTAGCTATGGCCAAAAAGTTTTCTAGCCAGAGTGACTATGATCGATTTTGTAGCGAAGAAAGAGGGGCCGGCTACTGTGAACACCATCAAACCCTATGGACAATCCAAGAGTGAGTTCTCCATCTCTTTCAAGTCGAAGTTCTTCTTAAAAACTTTTGTTTTTTTTTTCTTGCTTCAAGGTGACATATCTCTTCATTGCCAAGAACACCAACACGCAGGTTGGCCTCTCATGAACCGTAGTCTCTCTTTGGAAAAATCTCTGGAAAAAGTCACACCTTCACGAAGTATTTCTGTAGTAAAATGGGCTCTCCAGCTGCCGGACAGGCTCAAGGAGGCCTTCGACAAGCAGGGTGGAAACATGGTTCGAATGCTCGCGTCCTCAGCAATGCCCGACCAGCTTCGACACGAGAGCTCTCTCCCTCGCTTGAAAGGCTCGCCACACGCAAAGCATCGCGGCAGCCCTGTGAAGGAAGTAAACACATTGAGCAGCAGCGAGGATAATAATCCCCGGAGCCTAGCCGCATCAATCCAACCTTCCGGCCAAGTCTCGTTTTCACAAAAGATCAGTCGCGTCTGCAAGGACAAAGCTTGCGCTTGCTTCACGTTTGAGGAGCTCCAAGAGGCTACGTCAAGCTTTTCTCCGAGTAAGCTCATCACATTTTGGTGGTTTCAGCTGACAACCAACTGTCGATCTTTCCAGATAACTTGGTCGGGAAAGGAGGCTGCAGCAAAGTTTACCGAGGAACTCTTTCTGGTGGCCATGTCGTGGCTGTGAAGTGCTTGAATCAGGGAGCAACCGAGGCGGACGAGGAGCTTCTCACCGAAGTGGAAATCCTCAGCACGCTCAATCATCCCAATATTGTGGGATTGATCGGCTACTGCGTCGAGGGAGACACCCACATTCTCGTCTACGACTTTGCCGCGGAAGGAAACCTGGAAGAAAATCTCCATGGTAAGCTAAAGTTGAGATTTTGGGTGTGGATCTCATTTCTCTCTTTTTGTTTTAGTTGGCAAAGACAAACCATCGCTAAGCTGGTCACAGAGACATAAGATTGCTGTTGGTGCGGCAGAAGCGTTTGTTTACCTCCACGACACTTGTGCTAGGCCGGTTGTCCACAGGGATGTGAAGTCTTCAAACATCCTCCTCAGGAAAAACTGCAAGCCACAGGTACTGAAAGGATTCGTGCAGGAGAGATTTTGTTTGATTTGCTTGGATAGATTTCGGACTTTGGACTGGCTAAATGGGCTCCGACCTCGACGACGCACATAACTTGTAGCGATGTTGTTGGAACTCTCGGGTATGGACAAGAACCAACACGAAAGTTCCTGATTTTCTTGGCTTGTTTTGTAGCTATCTTGCTCCCGAGTACTTCATGTTTGGGAGAGTGAGCGACAAGACGGACGTTTACTCGTTTGGCGTGGTTTTGCTCGAGCTCGTCACGGGACGGCCACCGATCGATATGTCCAAGCCCAAAGGCGACGAAAACTTGGTCGCCTGGGTAAGCAAAAACACTACATCTATATTCTTTCTTCTTCGATCATTCCAAATCCAAATTTTCAGGCAAGACCACATCTCGATTGTGGAGGCATCGAGAAACTGGTTGATCCGCGACTGGAAGGAAACTTTGACGAGAACCAGCTGAGAAACATGGTTGTGGCGGCAACGTTTTGCTTGAGACAGTCACC